AAAAAAAAAAAACCCAAAAGCGAGCAAAGGAAATGAACAGACACTTCTCAAAGAAGACGTTTATACAGCCAATAGACAAGAGAAAATGTTCATCATCCCTCGCCATGAAAGAAATGCAAATCAAAACCACAATGAGATACCATCTCACACCAGTTAGATTGACAATCATTTAAAAGTCAAGAAACAACAGGTGCTGGAGAGGATGTGGAGAAATAGAGACACTTTTACACTGTTGGTGGGACTGTAAACTAGTTCAACCATTGTTGAAAACAGTGTGGCGGTTCCTCAAGGATCTAGAGCTAGAAATACCATTTGACCATGCCATCCCATTAAGGGATGTATACCCAAATGACTATAAATCATGCTGCTATGAAGACACATGCACAAGTATGTTTATTGTGGCACTATTCACAATAGCAAAGACTTGGAACCAACCCAAATGTCCATCCATGACAGACTGGATTAAGAAAATGTGGCACATAGACGGAGGAGTTCCGGGGGCCAGGCGGTCGCCGCGAGTCTGGTATCCTGAGCTTCGTGAGTTGAGCGCTGCTGCTCCGCAGTGGAGTCACCACGTCGCTCCCATGATCATGGTGTTCTACTTCACCAGGAGCAGCGTTAATTCATCTGCCTACACTATTTACATGGGAAAAGATAAATATGAAAATGAAGATCTGATCAAGCATGGCTGGCCTGAAGATATCTGGTTTCATGTGGACAAACTCTCTTCAGCTCATGTATACCTTCGATTACATAAGGGAGAGAATATAGAAGACATTCCAAAGGAAGTGCTGATGGACTGTGCCCACCTTGTGAAGGCCAATAGCATTGAAGGCTGCAAGATGAACAACGTTAATGTGGTATATACTCTGTGATCTAACCTGAAGAAAACAGCTGACATGGATGTGGGGCAGATAGGCTTTCACAGGCAGAAGGATGTAAAAATTGTGACAGTAGAGAAGAAAGTAAACGAGATCGTGAGCCGATTAGAAAAGACTAAAGTGGAGCGGTTCCCAGACCTAGCAGCAGAGAAAGAATGCAGAGATCGTGAAGAAAGGAATGAGAAAAAAACCCAAATTCAGGAAATGAAAAGGAGAGAAAAAGAAGAAATGAAGAAGAAGAGGGAAATGGATGAACTTAGGAGCTATTCATCACTAATGAAAGTTGAAAATATGTCTTCAAATCAGGATGGCAATGATTCAGATGCATCATGTAAAAGGAGGAAAGGACCTTTGAAAGATGTGAATGTAGAGACAATTGCAGACCTTTTGGTTTCATCCGTGTTCTGAAGTATAAAATACAACCAAAATTCTACCCTCATCCTACCCAGAAATTATAGATTTTCAAGTTTTAAAAAAATTGTACCTTTTTTGCTGACAGAAAAGCATCAGATATGTATAAAATAGTTGAACTTGACAGCATACAACCTAAGCTGAAAATGTTTTTGCCAGAACATGTCTTGGTACCTTGTGAAAGCAGGCTGCCCTTGTTCTTGAGATAGACTTTAAAATGAACCAACTCTGAAAAGTACTTCTGTTGCTCTGATCTATCCCTGAAAACAGATGTCTTGAAACACTTTTCATATTCTTAAAACAATCTTCACTTCTGTTAAGAAGAACATGTTGGTGGGTAATTATACAAATGTTTTCCTGTCCCTGATCTCCCGATTAGAAAAAAGGGCGTATGGGTTTTGAAAAAGAGATTTTTCAGAAGATTGTAAGCTTCAATATTCACGTTCCATCATGTCATCTGGGTGTGTTAGTATAGTGACCCTCAACGCACTCTATCTCAGCTTTTATGTCCTTGCTTCCTCTGAGCAGGAGCCTCCATCTTAGTATCATCATATTTAAAGAAATTGATGGTGTTCATCAATGTGGGGCCTGTGGCAGTTGTTGCCTGAGCACCAAGTAACCCAAGCCACCTGTGTGACAACTTCTGGGCCCAGGAGTAATTTCTCAGCATTGAGGGTAAAATAGGATGGAGTGCTCTGTTGATCATTTGGGAGATGTAGGCTACCTGATTTGTGCCTTGGGATGCAGCGTGAAGCAGAAGTCCATTTTGCAATCATGAGTTTAGAAAGAACTAAGCATTTTACAAGCCAGCCAAGTAATTATTTTCTTTACCTTGAAATCATATTTGAGTTGTAACCCCAGAGTTAATTTCTCATTAGATTCAGTAACTTACTATGAAACATTACTTCTCACGTGAACCACTCGCTATCTGTTGTGATTCTGAGCAGAAGATATCTTTTGATTGCAGTATGTAAGGCAACCCGTGTAGAAGGAGACAAAACAAGGAGAAAGAGAACAAAGCCTGCCAGACCAGAGGCGAAGAGATGGATATTTTACTCACACCCACAGCAGCAAGAATGACCTCCTGCAGCAGATATTCCACCTCTAATAGCACTTTGGAACTATGGGCAAAACCAAAAGGCTAGTGTTTCCATTTATTTCACATTGGTGTATGGGGTTGAACTGGAAAATTCACTGAGGCATAACTCACTGGCTAAATTTTGAGAGGGTACATAAGATGACTTTAGAGATGAGTGGCTTTGTTTATGTGTCTAATGATATTCAGTCTGACGTTCTGCAATTTTAAAAGTTTAATAAAGTATCTTTTTTTAGTCTGAAAAAAAAAAGTGGCACATATACACCATGGAATACTATGCAGCCATAAAAAAGGATGAGTTCATGTCCTCTGTAGAGACATGGATGCAGCTGGAAACCATCATTCTCAGCAAACTATTGCAAGAACAGAAAACTAAACACCACATGTTCTCACTTATAGGTGGGAATTGAACAATGAGATCACTTGTTCCACAGGAAGGAGAACAACACACAGTGGGGCCTATTGTGGGGTGGGGGACGGGGAGGGATAGCGTTAGGAGATATACCTAATGTAAATGACGATTTAATGTTGGCAGCACACCAACATGGCACATGTATACATATGTAACAAGCCTGCCCATTGTGCACATGTTCCCTAGAACATAAAGTATAATAAAAAAAAAAGTGGCATATATACACAATGGAATACTATTCAGCCCTAAAAAAGACAGAAAATCTGACATTTGAGATCATATAGATGAAACTGGAGGATCTTATATTATGTGAAATAAACCAGGCATGTTTATTTCACATAATATAAGACAAATACTGCATGTTCTTACTTAGAGGTGGAGTCTTAAAGTGTGGAACTCATAGGAGCAAACAGTAGAATGGTGGTCACCAGGAACTAGGAGTTGGGAGTGGATTGGAGAAATCTTGGTTGAAGGATACGAGATTTCCTTTAGGAGAGTAAGTTCAAGGGATCTATTGTACAACATGGTGACGATATTTAACAGTGTAGAGTATACTTGTAAATCACTATGAGAGTAGATATTGTGTTATCACCACAAAAAGATACGTATGTGAGGTAATGCATATATTAATCAGCTTGATTTAGCCATTCCACATTGTATACATATTTCAATACATTATGTTGTACTCCATAGATGCATATAATTTTTGTTCGTCAGTTAAATAATCAATATTTTAAAAGTTGCATAAACAAATCCTTATGGTAGAAACTTCTGAATAGTCCTAATTTAACTTTATGGCAAAAAGTTGTTCTGCTCTAAACCATTTAAAGGTTTTGCATACAACTCCATAACTAATAGGGAATATAGACAGTAAAAATATCTCACTTAACTAATAGGTAGACCTCAGCATACTCAATCATCTTGAAAAACACCCGGTGTTTGTACTCTGTTCTCGTCCCACAGCTCATTCCCTAATACGGTCACTATGCATGAGAGGCCCATGTGGGTGTTACTCTAGCTTTATGAAAGTCTTGATATAATTATTGTGTGATAAAAAGACTATTGTATTGGCAGAATTGTAAAGATCAAAGTCAGATTTCTGTATGGAGAAATCTGTTTTACTTGAAAGTGTAAAAGTAGAAGTACCCTTGGTTTTAGCTGGTGGTGTATTAGTTAACTATGAATGAGACATGTCCTCAAATGAGAAACCATTGTTTCAGAAGGATTAGAAAGCAGAAATTTGATCATTTAACTTTGAATGCAGTGAAGAAAAACTAAAAAGCAAACTATTTTTGTGAAGTGGAAGTAAAGATACCCCCTTCTATTCTCACATGTACTACTGCACTTGCCTCCTACTTCGGATTTCTGACTTCAGTCTTGCTTTTCTCATCTGGCATTCAAAACTTGACCTGTGTTTTTTTTTTGTTTTTTTTTTTTGTTTTGGTTTGGTTTGGTTTTTTTGAGACAGAGTCTCGCTCTGTTGCCCAGGCTGGAGTGCAGTGGCTGGATCTCAGCTCACTGCAAGCTCTGCCTCCTCCATAGGTCTACGCATTCTTCCTGCCTCAGCTTCTCGGAGTAGTGGACTACTAGGCGACTGCCACTCGCCCGGCTATTTTGAGTTTTTTGTTTTTTTTTTTTTTTTTTTTTTTTTTTATTTTTTAGTAGAGACGGGATTTCACCGTGTTAGCCAGGATGGTCTCGATCTCCTGACCTCGTGATCCACCCATCTGGGCCTCCCAAAGTGCTGGAATTACAGGCTTGAGCCACCGCGCCCAGCCAAAACTTGACCTGTGTTTTAAAAACCAATTCTGATCCTACTTAAACCTTCAATACCTCCCAATGACTACTTATCATTGCATACAGTATTTTCATCTCTAATTGCCGTCATATACTTGATCTTTCTTCATGTAGTCATTTAAGTTTTCGTACTCCAGCCATACTGAATTACTTGAAGTTCCTTAATTGTACCCTACTCTCTTAATCTCAGAATGGGGCACATGCTTGTTTTTTCTTGTACCAGCTAAAAATCTCTGTGCTGCAATTTGTAAAAACCTCAAAAGAAACTGTATTAGACAATAAATATATTATTTCATGGATCAGGACATTCAGGACAGTTCCTACAACAAAGAATCCACTTAACAAGATCATCAAGGTCTTGGGTTCTTTCTACTTTTCTTCCATTATCTTTGTTCACTACCTTTTTCTTCAAGCTGAAGCAAGACGACTGTGGCAGTTCCAGGCATCACAGCAATACACAGAGATAGGAAGAATGAGAAGAGTCAGAGTTTAGTTACATGTTCATTCTAAAACATTGAAAGTATCCTTGGACCTGTGACTCGAAGTGAGGGGACATATTTTGCTCCCTAGCAGACATTTATCAGTGTCTGAAGATATTTTTGGTTGTCACAAGTTGAAGTGTGCAGGGTGGGTTGTGGGGGGAATGTGTTGGGTGCTACTGTCATCTAGTGGGTGGTAACACCCTGCTGCTAAACATTTTATAGTGTATGGGACAGCTTCTCTTCTCATACTGCCTGCTTAAACAAAGAATTATCCAGCACCAAATGTCAGCAGGGCTATGATTGAGAAACCCCATCTTAGACCAATCAGAGCCACTCCTGAATCTGGGGATAAAATTTACTTCTTCTGAGGTACATGGTGTATACAGGAGGAGCAGGTGTCTGAGAAAATCTGGAATTTGTTAAGAGGGAAAAAGAAAGGGAAAGAATATTGAGTTCGTAAGCAACAGAGTCCACTATACCCTACCTGGTTTGCTCTTTTCCTATTCTTCACCTGTTGCCCAATTCATATATACTCTATAGGCAATACTTTTTCAGACATCTTTTCTGTATATAGTCTCCTCCTCTCAATCATTTTCCCTTGGCTACAATGCTGGGATGCATACTTTCAAAAGATTTCAAAAGCATTTGTTATCTCCTGTTATAATATTAATCTCTTGTAATTTAAAAATTTCTTTACTTTTTAAATTGTTTTGTTAATGTGTAATTTCTTTAGATGATAGGGACTATGTTCCATTCATGTGAAAAAGACCTATCAAGTAGCATAGTACATACTGTCCAGTGTGTGAGTGATAAGTGATAGTTCACTGAAGAGGGCACTTAATCTCATTTTAGCTATTTTTAATATAAAAATAAATTAAAGTGTAGTGGATAGGTTATAAATTGTGCCAAGGACATGGAGCATTGTGTCTACAACATAGTAGATGCTCACTTATAATTTACGATGTTAGATTAGTACTCCCACTATTTTATTTTTTAATTTGATGCCATAGCAATTTATGTCAAGTATGAAAGAAAGAATGAGATACACCACTATAAATTGGGTTTACTGCAGAAATGGTTGAGAATAGATTTTATGACTCTAGGTTGTCTTGGCTCATTTTCAGGATGTAAAAGAGTGGAGAGAGTGCAAAGAATGGGGCAGAATTTATCGAATAAAATTATTTGGAGACATCTATTTCTTTGCTTTGAGGTACCTCTCTATAGGTGTTTTAGTGGAGGCAGGGGCGAGATTGTGCCCCTCCTTTCAAGGAGAAGTGTGGTTCCATGAGTCCACTTGAGGACCCTGAAAGGTGTCCCCTGCAGTTAGGAGATACAGTGGGCTGATGCATGCCCTGAGACTAAAAGACTTTAAAGCAGGGGTCCCCAACCCCTGGGCCATGAACTGGTACTGGTCTGTGGCCTGTTAGGAACCAGGTGACACAACAAGAGGTGAGTGGAAGGCCAGTGAGTTTTACTGCCTGAGCTCCACCTCCTGTCAGATCAGCAGTGGCATTAGATTCTCATAGGAGGGCAAACCCTATTGTAAACTGTGCATGAAAGGGATCTAGGTTGTACCCTCCTTGTGAGAATGTAATGCCTGATGATTTGTGGTGGAAGTGGAACATCTCAAAACCATACCACCCACCTCCACCCCATCTGTGGAAAAAATGTCTTTTACAAAAGCCCTTGTGCCACAAAGGTGGGGGACTGCTGGTTTAAAGCAACCTGAAAAAGCAGGATACAGATGACTGTGTTGTATTCTACTTGTATATATCAGAGTATGTCAAGGAAAATAAAGTATCATTCCTGAAGACCAGATGTGAGATATTTGAGAGAAAGAGCTGACATATGGTCTATAGTGTCCTATTTAATAGGAGATTACAGGACGAGAGGGACTTTAGCAGTAAGTCAAATAGGAATGTTGGATTTGTAGGAACCTTGGAGAGTTACAAGCATAGGCAAAAGGCATCCAGGCAAGTCAAGGGAATCTCAGAACAGA